CGTTCTTTGGTGGTGATATTGGATTTACGGCTGGTTAGCGTTAACAGTGGTACTTGTTGTAATGTTTGGTTTTCCTTTTTATATATATAAAACTAGATTAGGACCCGTGTTAATACACGGTAAACACATTAAAAAATTATCAATATATATATTTATGTTTTAATTAGTATCCAATGAATTATCAAAGTATTTTGAAATTCTTAAATCATGAGATAACAATTTGTATCTTGATTTTCATATTCTAATTCATATCATGCGTATCCAAATATATATATAAGCGGAATTCAAATCATATTTTGAATAACAAATAAACAAATTATATTCTTACTCATTATGAATATATACATATATTGGTTATTTGATAAAATCGTAAAAACAATTCAAATATTGTATAGTTAAATTGAAGACCATAAAACATTATATGTATAACACATATAAATCCATGATCATAAATATATACCATTGATGTAATTTTTTCTCATAAAGATCTATACTCGACAACTTTAAACATTCTTGAACCCTCCTAATACCATTATAGGTCAAAGATTATCATTTCTTTTATAGTATTCTATAAATATTTCTATTTTTTTATCAAACAATAAATATTACTATTTAATTTTTTTTTTCTTTAGTTTGGTTACGCATATCTTAAATTTATAAATTGAGATTTACATATATTTTCTAATTTTTGTTTTATTAATTTATATAATCTCTTTTATTTGACATTTTATTTTTTTCTTAATTGAAATTTATATGCTCTCTTTTTTTATGGTTTATATTCTTTCTATTTTCAATCTTAATTTTTTTTTTATAATTAGTTTGGACTATTAAAAAATTATTTTCCCCTAAAGTTTGGACGATTAGAAATTTTTCTATTTTTTTAATTAGCGATTACAATATTTTTTTTATTATTTGGTTAGTTATTTGATAATTTATTTAGTTAGTTTTTCATTTTTAATTTATTTTTTCTTAACTAAAATTTAAGTTTTAACACATGTCATCATCCGGTCAATATTAAACATATATCACGATCATATTGATAAAAATTTAAGTATGCTCGTAGATTTTTTATTATTATTTTTTTTAAATATGATTATGTATATCTTAAATCTTTAAATTAAGATGTTTAAATCTTTTTTAATTTTTTGTTTTTAAATTTATATATTTTCTTTTGTTTATCGTTTGTCTATTTTTTTGTTTTAATTGATATTTCTGCTTTTTTTTTTTACTTTTTCCATGGATTATATTTTTGTTCTATATTTCATCTTTTTTTATTAATTTTGACAATTTGAAATTTTCCATGTATATTCCATCTTACTTTTGCATTCTTAATCTAATAGTTTACATTTTTTTTTCTTAGTTTACAAAAATTAGAATTTATGAAGAGTCAAAAGAGAAAGTTATAATATATTATATGATGTTTTGTAAATTTTCCTCTTTATGTTAAGCTTGTAAATTTCTTTTTCAAATTAATTAATTTAT